AACTGTTTTAAAGATAAAAAAATTCACATTTTAACAAAAGACGTTTACATTTTTTTGCACAGACCTTTATTGGAAAAAAGATATATATTTTTGGAGAAGAATTCAAAACCTCTAGATAGACGCTCAGATTATCTTTTTTAAGTCGAACTTATAGCGTTGTTTTATTTTCAACACTTCAAACTTTTGTTTACTTTTGAAACACTTTCCAATTAATCGACAAATAATAAGAATAATATCTCATGCAATTTGTTGCATGTGCGGCTATTGCGTACTAAGTAGCTCTACTAACCATTGGGCTCACGTTCACAAATAAGACTGATAAGTTTTGATGGTTTTTCTCCATTTGAAGATTTTAATTGCTTTCTACAAACATTTATTAGAAAGCCTCTCTAAAAGGTTTCATCATTACTTCTATTCGTGACGAAACGATGGTTACCGGATCGCCATGCTACTGCATCCACCAATGTTCGAAACTGGAATCGTCAAGTGTCTTAGTAAAATCTTTTCGATTAGGTTTATTTTTATCAAACTTACTCATTTATTTCTAATTCGTACTTGCTATTGGAAACGAAAAATGAAATCATCCATAAACTTGTATTAATAAGCAGTTAGTGAAAAATTAAAGACCATGTACTTTAGTCTATTCTTATGAATTCGACCTTTAGTCAAACTAAAGCTACACCGAACACTCAAAAAAGACAAAATCTCTCTTGTGTTATCATAAGGTCTGCCAATCTTTTCTAAATTAACATAAAGATAAAGCATCGAAGTCTTATCTTCCACTGTTACTTCACTTGCATAAAGTTTCTTTCTCTAGATGACGATATTGGCAAGAACAATATTGAGACAATATATCCGATAGTTCTGATTTTCAACATGATTTACAGTTCAAAAAATTTCAGATCATCAGTCTTGCACGTAGACTATAATAGATAAGAAATCATCTTGTCTGATATAAGATTGAAACTTTACGTATAAAAATGATTGAGATCTTTGGTCACTGTCCAATCACGAGAGGTCGACGGTTTCGGTTAATAAAAGTGAAAAGGAAATCTTTCAGGTTCGACTCCTAATAAGTACCTGTGGAGTCGGTGATGTAATAATAACTATTATTCCAGATGGCTGATATAGTCTTTTTTTGAAAACCTCTAAATTATATTTAATTTTTGAAGATTGTTAATGTTTTTTTTTTCAAAAGCGCTCTCTTCTAAAGATGACACAACAAAGAGAAAGAATGAGAAAATCATGACAGTTAATCAACTGTATAATGTTTTTTCTTGATAAAAAGAAGCATATTGTACTAAAACTTTGTGCAAATATTGGGAACTTCTAGTTACTAATGAAAAGAAATTCCAGCTTCATATCTCATTCTTAGTCGTAGCTAGGGCAATTTTAGTATATTTATAACATTTCTTTTTGTGTCGATCGTATCTTCATCAGTATATCATTATTTAACAGAAGACATTTGGGTCTAGTAATTCTCGTAACTCTTTGTATTTTGATTTTCTTCTTTCGCTTGTCTTGATGCTTTCATGGAGTTAAAAATATCCTTATGAAAGATAAGAAGTTGTATGAAAAAAAATCAAACTCTAATATAATTTAGTTCAAAGGAAAACATATTTTTCTATGGTGAATGTCGTTTTTTGAAAAAATGAGCTTTCAAGTACAAGATATATTTGAGTTTATCTCTTATTTGGATTCAATATCACTGGATATGCGTCTTAGAACGTCTACTACCAGAAAAGCCGACTTTTGTTTTGACATACACGATTTTTTTGAACGAAAACACGTCTTTTGGTGGCAGAAACCTTACTATTCACAAGAATATGACTCAAAGTCACAATGGTTAGGACTGTGTACACAGAGTATCTAACCATTCGTTTTCTGAAGCGGATTTTAGGCGGTGTTTGATTTTTTCAAGGATCTTAATAAAACTCCTAGCTATTTTTAACTTCTTCTCTCATCCAGCTGTGAGAAATACTTATCGTTTATCGTTGGCGCGCTCGTAGATTGACCAACCCAACTTTAGATTATGCAGCGTTTGAACATCAGCTCGCGAAGGTGATTAACAAATTTTCGATTCCATCGGTTCCGATTTAACTTTTTCGAAATCGTCAAGTTCTATCGATTACTTATAATATATAAACAGATCAGATGTGAAAATTATTACTTATAGATCGCTTTGATTTTTTTTTATCAGAATGACTATTATTCATTTCAAAATAAAAGAAGGGCGAGTAGTTTTGGAATAACTCTTCATAGGAACAAGATAGAGATCTGCACGTTTCAGTTTAAAAGATGCGATAAAACTGCATCAAATAATACATACCAGATTTTTCCGACAAGTTTTCTCAGGATCTGCCATCATCTTTATTAAAAACAAAACTTTGTGCAATGAAAAGCTTTTAGAGTTTTAATTTTCAGGAATGTATTAGAACCATTAACTAAAGACATAAATAAAATAAGTCCGATGTTGTAAGATTTAGCTAATCATGAGTTATAAATATTTTACCAAGTGTTATGGACAGATTTTTCACAAACGTTGAGTTTTTTCTGATTTTTTGACGAAAAATCCACCCAATAAACTTATTTAAAAGCCTGGATTTTTTAAAAAACTTGGTTGAAGACTGAGAAAATTTGTCAAGAAAACCTGATATATATGATTTGATGCAGTTTTATCTTCTCTTTTATAAATTGAAAAACGTAGATCTCTGTCTTGTTCCTATGAAAAGGTTATGCCAAAAATATCCACCCTTCTTTTATTTTGAAATGGATTATAGTCTATTTTAAAAGTCATAAAAAATAGGATGCTATTGAAGAGATACTACTATTTTCTTGTCTTTATATGCAAGGGTTGATGCCACTTTCTATTGTCTATTTGTTGAATTCGCTTATTTATTATTTTTCTCAAAGTTTAAATTTGATTCTGATCTATTTGTGACGTAGCATATTTCTGGTTATATTTTTTCGTTTCGTGCTTCTAATACTTGTACGATCATAGAAATTTTCAAGATGCTTTTTTTTCTTTTATTCTTATCACATTAAGCATCTGTTACTTATTTATTTGACGATCTTTTTTTTTCTTAGAGCTATTGAAATTATTCTATTTTCATGGTGACATGAATAAGCATTCGACGTTGTGAAGATTATATAATCAAAAATGAGGAAAAAACAATCTACGATTGAGTATATTAAAATTCAGCGTTGTTATTAAAAGAAATAAGTCGAATAGTGATACTACCGAAAATTAACTATGTTTTTTTTAATCATCTCATAAATAATTAAACCGTGCTAACTGAACAGCATCAATAGATGTATATAAGTGTCTGATTTTTTCTTAGTTCGTTAATATTAAGAAGATACTTTTGTTTTTATCCTAATGAAGGAGAAATCTTTGGGCTTCTCTCTGCATCTACTGGCTTTGGTCAGAGGTAGATGAATCAATAGATTATGCATCAAAGTTAAGATAGTCATATGATTTGTTAACTTTTTTCCTCAGTGAGTTGTAAGAAAATTTTTACAACACATTCAAGATAAAATTTTCCTATGGGAGAACCTAATACACATAAATTTTATGATGGACATATACAAACTAAGAAAGGACGCATTTTAATGAGTCTTTTTTCTTTGTTCGACCTGAAGTGATAGTATCCTATAAGATATCAACAGTTCTTGTCTCTGTAGCATAATTTAGTATAAAGACTAGCTCATGTTTGTAAAAAGTTTATTTTATTAGCCGAAGCTTTATTTCCAGATTGAAATGCTTATGTTTTTCACGTTTGTTTTTTGTCAATTCTATTTTGGTCATCTCTTAATTATTTATACATTATTCTAAGTGAAGGTAAATACAAGTTTGAAGAGAATTGAATTACGCATCTTTCAAAAAACAAATTCAAAATTTTTTATCTTTTCTGCAAATTGAGACATACATGTAAAACACAAAGCGTTGTTCAATGTTCTTCACACGCGAGAGGATCTTAAAGTAATGGCCTGAAGCTGATTTTCAGGAACACTAAGTAATAACTCTGTAGAACACTTGCTGATTATCCCATCAACACTCACACATCCTTATGTTTTTCTATGGAGATCACGGATAGAATTACCATTAGTCTTGTCAGTAGTCCGTAAGTAGAAGGCGTCGGATTCCAAAGATCGCTCATGAAATCCTGCCCAGTTTTCTCAATTTTGTATGCATACACACTTTCTTCTGATCTTGCTAAGATCACACCACGGTCGTCTTTCGAACGACCTGGCATAAGTTCACAAAAACCTAATAGTCACACCTCTATCCTCTATGTGAATGTTTATGACACCCTTCAGTAGATCTGCATTTATCATTCAGACATATATCTACTGTTGATGATGCACATTTGTTTGCCAAGCAGTCAAAATTCTCATTCTTGGCATCTCTCTAACCAGGTTCTGATAGAATCTTCTCGACATTTGTCAATTTTTCGAGCATCTGACAGTATACATTATTGCATTACTAAAAAGCATGCCCGCAGCTCAGTAATAAAAATATTGAAAAGATTTAAGCTTGCATAAGATTAGTATTACTCTTCTCAATATTTCAAAAAAGCTACTTCTCGAAAAAACTCTTTCCAGAAATTTCAAAGCTCTTAGCATGAACTTAAACAAGTCCCGCCAAATACAGATTCTCATAGGAGTGGTTACGAAGTTCTTTTATTGTTGTAGGAACCTAGAAAAAGGTTTTCCAATTTATATATGCAGGAGAGAACCTTTCCTTGTTTAGTGTATGTGAGGAAAGGACATTCTCGAAAATCTTATCAAGTTCATTTTGAAGAAGAACAATATCTTATTGGTCGGCAAGAACGATGATGATTTTTTTCTTTTTCTCGTTGATTGCAGTAATTCCCAATATTCCGACCAACGCTCGATGGACACCGAACGGAGTGACCGTTGCTGGAGGCCATGGACAAGGCAATGCCACCAATCAACTCAGCAACCCTCTTGGTCTCTTCGTCGATGACGATCAAACGATGGTCATCGCTGACTACTGGAATCATCGTATCATCCAATGTAAGATGGGTGATATGAATGGACAAGTAGTAGCTGGTGGCACTGGTCAAGGAAATCGATTGAATCAGTTGAGTTTTCCAAGCAATGTGTTGATCGACAAAGAGACTGATAGTCTCCTTATCTGTGATCAAGGGAATCAACGAGTCCTTCGATGGTCTCGTCGTAGTGGCACAATTCAAGGAGAAATCCTCTTCGACAACATGGACTGTTATGGATTGGCCATGTATGATCAGAGATATCTTTACATCTCTGACACCCACAAAGATGAAGTACGACGGTATCAAATAGGAGACAAGAAAGGAATTCTCGTGGCTGGTGGCAATGGCAAAGGTGATGGTCTCAATCAACTGAACGAACCAACATATATCTTTGTCGATCAACAACAGACTGTCTACGTGTCAGACAAAAGAAATCATCGTGTGATGAAATGGAATCAAGGTGCAAAAGACGGAATTGTTGTTGCAGGAGGCCAAGACAAAGGAAATGCTCTGACACAATTGTCGTATCCTAATGGACTGTTCATTGATACGTTGGGTACCCTCTATGTGGCAGACTCTGGGAATCATCGAGTGATGTATTGGCTTAAAGGAGCAAAACAGGGCACTGTCATTGTGGGTGAAAATGGTAAAGGAGAACGAACTAATCACTTGAACGCTCCCGATGGTCTGTCCTTCGATCGACATGGCAATCTCTACATTGCCGATTATTGGAACCATCGTGTTCAACGTTTTTCTATCAAATAAACTCACTACGATGACTTTTCTCTATCTCTCTCCCTCCTTCAAATAAATCATGTTCAATCGATGAAAAGAATGGCTATTCTGTTCACGCGCGCGCGCGACCAGGAACCACCTTGGTTGAGCCATGGTGAGTATGAAGAGTGTGCATGTAGATCTGGGGTGTAGGTGTTGATGTGGATACAGGCGTAGCGTGTGAAATGAAGGGTATATCTTGATCCGCATCTTCCCAGAAATTCGAATTTTCGACCTATTTCAGATTAATTCGGAAACCTTTATTTTAGGTTTCATTGGTTTCGACTGCAACTGCGAATAGAGCAAAAACCTTTATTTGCTTGAGATAAAAAAGCTTGTTAGCGCAGCCCCTTTGGGGCTAAAATGTGGAACTCACATATGTTCTTCAGCTTCGTTATATTAATACGAAATACAGAAGATGTAAAATGAAGAATTTTTTATTTTTCATTTTCTGGCGGGCGCTCTATTTTTTG